GGGCGGGCCGAGGGCGGCGGGCCGGGGGTGGCTCCGGACGCCGGGCGGACCCGGCCCGCCCCGCCCGCCTGCGCGCCGCTCCGCCTCCCGCCTCGCTCGCTCCGCCCGCCGGCGCGCTCTCGGCTCAGCCCGGCCCAGTGGTGCGCGGAGTGTGGTGGCGCGGCGGCTGCCGTCGCCGAAGCCCCGCGCCGTGTGGCGGGCGGGGCGGGCGGGGCCTCCCGCGCGCTTTGTTGGGTCACCGGTGCCGCCCAACGGGCCGCGCGCACCGGGGGCCGCGGGGCCACCTCTGGGCGGGAAGCACCACCTCCGCGCCGGCCGCCGGGCGCCGCGAACAAAGCCGCGGGGACGGCGGGGCATCCCCGCTGGTCCCCCGCGTCCCGGCGCCGGGCTCAGGTCCGCTGCGCCGCCCGCGCGGTGGGCGTGCGACCCGGGTGTAGGAGGACGGGCGACTCTCGCCCCCGGGATTGTCGGGATTAATGAAGAATGGCCGGAACCGAGCACCGTGTACTGGGCATCCCGCAGGTGCTGGGGAACGGCGCCTAGCATTAGCTTTTTGTCTTTAAATAATTTTGGTAGCCCTTGAGGTGCTCAGCTGAAATGTGTAACACAGACACTATTATTCCACACGTGTTAAGTGATGAACGCAAGCTCCCAGTGCAGAGTGGGGGCCCAACCCAGGATTTCTGACCCACTTCCCACTGTCCTGTGTCCAGGAGTGCAGCCCACCTCCCCGTCTCCCCAAAGCCTCCCAGATGGTGATGCCCTCAAGGGAGACAACACAGGGACTTGTGTAAGTGATGCCACGTTGGGCTCTGGGGGAGGAGACGAAATTCTGAGTAGTCTGCACGGTGGTCTTAATCAAGGACACTATATTACACCAGAGCCTCTGAAATTCATAATTCTGGGTAATAAAATGGGTCCCACGTAGCTATTCCAAAAACTTCCCTCTCAGATGTTACAGGATGGAACGCATATTGCGTAGTATGTATTAGGTTTCTGAGAGTAATAAAAACTGGAATAGCATCTCTAACTCTAGGTGTGTGTCTAATTTTCTCAAACATAGAATAATTAAAACTAAAAGCCAAACGGGCGCAATCTAGTTGCACACCCTTATGTGAATTCAGCTGATACTCTCAAAATGACAAGGAGTTATAAATTCACAAACTATCAATTGACTCAATCCGTGAGAATTTTGCCTTGCTGACACCCACCATTTTAGCAATTCTGGGTAGGAGGAGCAGAGCATCTGGCTCTTTACACTAACTGGTGGTCTCCCTGCAGCAACACAAAATCGACAGAGCGCCAACTAGGCTTCAGCCCCTGGACACACAAAGGTGAAGAGAATGATCTGGACCATCTACCCAGTAAAGTCAGACTTAACAATTCTCAGTGATGGTGATAAAACAGAGGTTATGCACCAAATGCTAGCCTGGGATACAGATCAACTAACTCTGCCTTGGGTAGCGAGGCTGCACAGTGTGTTTTATCTCACGTTCTCTGGGAAGGCAGCCAAGGAGGAGGGGCTGGGTGGTTTTGTCCATATTGTTCAGGAGCTGTGCATTTGGTTATCGTCTTACCTGCATCCCATGTTACAGCAGGTCCCTTGAGGCAGCTCGGTTTTTAGACATTTCAGTGAGGATGTTCTTATTCACGGTTTGGCACAAGCATGTTTTTTACATTTGATGTTTTCTCCCACTCTCTAGTCCTTTCTCAAACATACAATAAAAATTTTTTTACACCAGTATTCACTCTATAAAAGGCACTGTTTCCTCCTCATAGAAAATGGTATTTAAAGAACAGCCATTATTATCCTATGCCCTTACCCCAACTGTACTTACAGTGTCACGCCTGTGGATGCTGGAAGCTGTGTGTCTAGTGGTCAGAGCACAACCCAGAGTCTGCTCTGCCCCTGAAATCTGCAAAATAGAAGGAATGTCACAAGTCACTTTTAAAAAGTATTATCCAACTATGGCTATTAAGGCCTGGATTTTTCAGAATAAGTCCTCTTCCAAATGATAGTGAAAACTTTTATGAGTAGCCACGGAGCCTTGGACATTGATAAATTTGACTCTTGAAACACAAACATAGTAAGTATCATGGGGAAAAAACTGCTAATAAACAAAAAACCCACCTGACATTGCTTGCTGCTGTGTCATTTATTAATTTTTGTATTGGTAATTGAACTGTTTACTTTTTCTTTAGGATGATCCTAAAGCTGAAAGTATATAAAAGGCAGATCTTTTATTGTTTTGAATAATAAAAAATGAATGAATCTGCAAATGGAGACATACAATAAAAATGTTTTTAAAAGAAATTTTTAACCTTTATTTTCATTCATCTCTGGGGTTTTTTTTTTTTATCCAGGTTGATGTCCCCCACAAACAGCCACTCCCCAGTAAAAAGAATACTTTTTTTTTAATTAATTGCCAATCTCTTACCCAAAGCCTCCTATACATGTTTTCGTAAATTGTATAAAGGTAAATATTTGAAATTTTAATCTTTCCTTTCTATGCTTCTTTTAAGCCTCCTTTAAAGCTCCATGTCAAGATGACATTCCAAATTGTGAAATCTTAACTTTTACTAGAGCTTTCATAGTTTGGCTTTCTTTTTCAAAGACATTGGATCTCTTTTTATTCACATTGGCTAAAGATACATTTTCTCACACCACCTTAGGAAAAGAATAAAGACTAGAGGGAGAAAATAGCTACAGAACTGAACCCTGTCCAGAGTTCTCTCTACTCAGGCTCTCCTTTCTCCATTTACAGGAGTTGAAGGCTGCCCATAGATGCAACAGAACTTCAACTCTGTCCGTGATCAGCCAGACTGCCAGTTTCTTAGCATAGGCTTGTTCTGAACAAAACGGTGCAACCTAGAACCACCACTGTAAACAGAGTTTAAAGGAAAGTAAACCCTCTGTTTCTTATCCACCATGTTAAGGACTCCAGTGCTTTTCACAGCGCTCCAGATTAGCAGAACCAAAAGGATTCTGCACTGAGGAATCTTGCGGTTATTCCAGCTGAGGTACAGCACCCATCCAATTTGTTCCACGCATTTTAAATTTATTAGGAAAACTAAGATGTGAAAATAGCATTACTGAATTAAAATGGCAGTGTTGGTTTCCTTTATGCCTTTCTCTCCAAATGCACAAAGCCTCAGTGGCAATCATGTTCAAAGCAAGGTGGAAGAGCCTGCCCCGATGTCTGGCAGAGTACGTGCTTGAGGAAACGTTTATTATTCTGAATCTGAATGGATGGGTCAAGTTGAACCAGGAAAAAACCATAAGCAAACCACATACTCAAACCCAGATAAGCTCAGTGATTAAACTATGCCTCGATTCTAAAGTCTTTTCATACTACCTCTGCCCTCTGGTTCTATGATTCAGAACAAAAGTTTCTACTCCAATTTCACTTCTGTGTAACTAACTCCTTGTAACAAAATTCCTTCTGTTCCTGGTCCTTGATTCCTTCATTTGGTTTTAAAAAATAAATTAAATATATATATTTATTTATTTATAAAATATACACATATATAGGCACCGTGACACAACACAATTCATACAAAAGATAACTACTCCATTTTTTAACTTTTTATTTTGAAATAATTACAGATTCACAGGAAATTGCAAAAAATGTACTGGGAGGTCCTGTGTACCCTTCAGCCGGCTTCCCCCAATGGTAATATTGTACATTTTGCAATATTTTTGAGATGTATATACTAGGCATTGTTAGGTGCTTTCGTGTACTTTCAGATTTAACGCAAACAGCTCTGTGAAGTAGGTATTGATATTTACGTTTTTCAAATAAAGGAAACCAAAGCTCAAAGAGGTTAAAATTTTGACAAAAGTCAGATGGCAAATAGGGGGGCTGGAATTCAAACGCTGGAATCCTGATTCTAAATGATGCTAATAGGATTTGTATATCATTATGCTCATGACTTTTCCATCAAAATTGTCTCTCAGCCAATTTCTCTGGCATCAGGAAAGCCTCTGTCCTTTCACATGTACGGTCTTGGTATCTTTTTTTTTTTACTTCCATTAACACATCAGGCCCTTCTTTCTTTTATTATTTAATTTTTATTTTCTTTATTTTTTTTGGATGCATTGGGTCTTAGTTGCAGCACACGGGG